CTTCCCCCCACAGGCGTCCCCTCTGCCCCCCGCAGCGTCATCTCCAACGTGAACGAGACGTCACTGGTGCTGGAGTGGAGCGAGCCGCAGGACACGGGTGGGCGGGATGACCTGCTCTACAACGTCATCTGCAAGAAGTGCAGCGTGGAGCGGCGCCTGTGCACCCGCTGCGACGACAACGTGGAGTTCGTGCCGCGCCAGCTCGGCCTCACCGAGCGTCGCATCTACATCAGCAACCTGATGGCCCACACCCAGTACACCTTCGAGATCCAGGCTGTGAATGGCATCTCCAACAAGAGCCCTTACCCTCCCCATTTTGCCTCTGTCAACATCACCACCAACCAGGCAGGTCAGTGGAGCTGCCAGAGAGCAGGGATTTCTTGCTGACAGTCTCAGAGGCTGCAGTCCTTTGTGCTGCCACGTTACTGGCTCTCCACGCCTGCATCTGATCCCCTGGGTAAATTCTCCTCTCCTTTTAACGCGTGTCCCTGGAGGAGATGAGATCAGAACGCGCGCAAGCAGAGAAGGGCAAGGTTGGCAGATGCTCCAGAGAGCTCTGGATCTCCTAGACCTACCCCAGAGATGTTGTGCCTGCTGTGAAGGGAGGAGGAAGGAAATGAGATTTCTCCCCTGTGGGCCTGGGAACGCTCAGCACCAGCCCAAGCCTTCGCAGCCAGCCGACTGCTCTGCCGTTCCCTCCTTCCTCCCGCTCTGGCCCGGCTCCAGCGCGCTGCTAATCTCCAGCCGCTGCGCTCTGATCTGATTTCACAGGTCTCATCGGTGGGGTGGAGCACAGAGCTCCTGGTGAACGGAGGAGGGAAAAGAGCCCCGGTTTGGGCTGGCAGGGCCCTTCCCCAGACCAGCTTGCAGTTAGGCGTGGCGTGAAGTGTTGCCTCGGTGCTATTTCCAAGACTCCCCTTGGTCCCTTATTGCCTTGACTGCAAGATGGTGAGATCGCACCTCCCTATGGAGACTTGCGGGAGGCCTGTCTCAAAGGTTTTCCGTGCCTTTCCACGGGGGTTATCTGAGCAGGTCCCAGGCAGAGCCCCCTACACCGATGCGGGATGGTGGAGGGGGAAGCCTGGCACAGATGGCTCACTCCTCCCCTGCTCTCTTTCCCAGCCCCATCTGCCGTGCCGACGATGCACCTGCACAGCAGCACTGGGAGCAGCATGACGCTGTCCTGGACGCCCCCAGAGAGACCCAACGGCATCATTCTAGACTATGAGATCAAGTACTCGGAGAAGGTAAAGCCAGGAGGCAGAGCAGCCTTTCCCTGCTCCAACCCTTCCAGCATAGGGGATACCTGCAGATGCAGTGCCCAGGGGATGGAGGGGCGGCGAAGGGGGGATCCCTTTGCAGAGGTGACACCCACCTGTCTCCCCTACAGCAAGGCCAGAGTGATGGCATTGCCAACACGGTCACCAGCCAGAAGAACTCGGTGCGGCTGGACGGGCTGAAGGCCAATGCTCGGTACTTGGTGCAGGTCCGGGCACGCACGGTGGCTGGATACGGCCGCTACAGCCTCCCCACGGAGTTTCAGACAACTGCGGAGGACGGTGGGTACCAGGACTGGGCTGCCTCCATCCCACAGCCCTCCTGCAGGCTCCTTTCACAGCTTGACTTTGATTCCTGCCTCCTCCTCCACCAGGCTCCACTGGCAAGGCTTTCCAGGAGCTACCTCTGATCGTGGGTTCGGCCACCGCGGGGCTGCTCTTCGTCATCGTTGTGGTGATCATCGCTATCGTCTGCTTCAGGTACCGTCTTTGCAGGGAAGGAGGGGTCGGAGCTGGGTTGGGGGGTTGCTCGTGTCTGCCCGGAGCTTTCCCTCTTGCCTGTGGGCAGAGCTCTGGCAGCTCCAGTCTGAGCGAAGGACTGGACCTGCCGCGCGTGGGTATGAGAGCGTGGGTCCTGCGGGAGGGTGGTGCGTCTGCTTCCCCAGCACCAGTTGGGGCTCTGCCCAGGCTCCTGCCGTCCTCGCTCAGCACAACTAGGCCATCATCTCCCATCGCACCTCGGGCAGAGGGATGGCTCTGTTCGCAGGCTGCCGGGGGGGAAGCTCTCTGACATAGGCTGGCTGTGCTGGGATTTGGAAGCTGGCAGTGAATGTCTTTGCCCCATCAGGAAAGGGATGGTTACTGAACACCTCCTCTCGTCTCCTTTGGGCAGGAAGCAGCGCAACAGCACGGACCCCGAGTACACGGAGAAGCTGCAGCAATACGGTGAGTGTGAGAGCCCAGCAGGTGGGCTCTGCCTCCCCTCTCCAAATTCCTGCCCTGTGCATGAGCAAAGGGGTGGCCTTCACTAGCCGGGGACCAGGAGGGACGGGCTGACAGCTGGCTGAGCTGGCTTGGCATCTGTCACCTGCGCTGCATCTTTCCTGGTGACAACTCCTCTGCCCTTGCAGTCACCCCTGGGATGAAGGTCTACATTGACCCCTTCACCTACGAGGACCCCAACGAAGCCGTCCGGGAATTCGCCAAAGAGATCGACATCTCCTGCGTCAAAATCGAGGAGGTCATTGGAGCAGGCAAGTCCCGGGGCTGGGCACAGCAGCTGCTGCAGCCGCTGCCTCTCGCCCTGCCGCGTGGCTCACCGTGCCACCCCCTTCTCCCCTTCCCCACCGCAGGGGAGTTCGGCGAGGTGTGTCGCGGGCGCCTGAAGCTGCCCGGCCGCCGCGAGATCTTCGTGGCCATCAAGACGCTGAAGGGGGGCTACACAGAGCGGCAGGGGCGGGGCGACGCTGAAGGTGGGCTACACAGAGGGGCAGCGGCGGGACTTCCTGAGCGAGGCCAGCATCATGGGCCAGTTCGACCACCCCAACATCATCCACCTGGAGGGGGTGGTGACCAAGAGCCGCCCTGTTATGATCATCACAGAGTTCATGGAGAACTGCGCGCTCGACTCCTTCCTCCGGGTGAGCATCCATCCGCTCCTGCCCTGTGCTTGGGGGCTGCAGCATGCCGGGGTGGCAGCCCCAAGCCCTCCTCCATCCCTCTGCACTGTTGTGCTGGCATCCCCAGGGCTACGCTGTGCGTATGCACCATGGGGTAGGGAGGGAGGGGTGGCCCTAGGGAGGAGGAAGGTGGTGTTAGCACATTGGGAATCCTTCCGCAATCCATCCGGGGTGTTGCAAACTCCTCTGATCTCTGCTCTGGCAGCTGAACGATGGGCAGTTCACAGTCATTCAGCTGGTGGGAATGCTGCGAGGCATCGCCGCCGGCATGAAGTACCTTTCGGAGATGAACTACGTGCACCGGGATCTGGCTGCCCGCAACATCCTGGTCAACAGCAACTTGGTCTGCAAAGTGTCCGACTTCGGGCTCTCTCGCTTTTTGGAGGATGACCCGGCTGACCCCACCTACACCAGCTCCCTGGTATGGGACGCTCGTGGGGGATCCACCGATCTGGGGGTGGGGGGAGACACCCCAGATATGTGCTAAATAACGGAACCATGTATCCCTGCAGGGGGGCAAGATCCCGATCAGGTGGACGGCTCCCGAGGCCATTGCCTACCGCAAATTCACTTCAGCCAGCGACGTATGGAGCTACGGCATCGTCATGTGGGAAGTGATGTCCTACGGGGAGCGACCCTACTGGGACATGTCCAACCAGGACGTAAGTGCTCCCTGGGGAGGGGGGAGCTGTGGACTACGCGTGGGGGCCTGGGTGGCTCACAGCCTGCCTCTGCTTGTCTCTCCGCAGGTGATCAACGCAGTGGAGCAAGATTACCGCCTGCCACCCCCCATGGACTGCCCCACAGCACTGCACCAGCTGATGCTGGACTGCTGGGTGCGGGACCGCAACCTGCGGCCCAAGTTTGCACAGATCGTCAACACGCTGGACAAGCTCATCCGCAACGCCGCCAGCCTGAAAGTCATCGCCAGCGTCCAGTCTGGGTCAGTGGCATCCCTGCCTCCAGCCACGACTTCCCCCAAGCCCGGGGAGCACCGGGGTGGTTGGGACAAGAGAGGTGGGAGGGCAGGGATAAGAAATCTGCCCCGCTTCCAGTTACACCTCTGTGTCCCCTGCTCCCTGTGACCTGTGGCTCTCTTGTCCTTTAGCATCTCCCAGCCGCTTCTGGACCGCACCGTCCCGGATTACACCACCTTTACCACCGTGGGCGACTGGCTAGATGCCATCAAAATGGGACGGTACAAGGAGAACTTTGTCAATGCCGGCTTCGCCTCCTTCGACCTGGTGGCACAGATGACTGCGGAGTAAGTCCCTGCTTGCGGAGGAGGGAGAGGGCTGGGGCTGCAGTGCGTTGTGCCTTGCCTCTCCGGCAGCCAGCTCATCCCGCCTGAGCATCTGGCGAGCGGAGCTGTGCGTGGGGTTTTCCCAAGTGGGTTAAGGTCTGGGATTTGGCATCCAGTCCCCTGTGGTGTTCGAGGGACACGGGAGCTTGGCAGAGCGCAGTGATGAAGACGGGTCCCTTGGCAGCAGCTGGATGTGGCAGGGCCATGTGCTGGTGTTGCTGCTGGCTGGGGGCTGAGTCTTCACCTTCTCCTTGCAGAGACCTGCTGAGGATAGGGGTGACGCTAGCAGGGCACCAGAAGAAGATCCTGAGCAGCATTCAGGACATGAGGCTGCAGATGAACCAGACGCTCCCGGTGCAGGTTTGACCGCAGGGGACTCTGCATTGGAACGGACCGAGGGAACCTGCCAACCAGGTTCAGTTTGCGGTGCAGCCCGGCTTCCCGTTTCCCCCTTCACATGGCGCTCCTCTGCCTCGGACGGTCGCCTGGGACGGGTCGGGACGGGCCGCCCCTCCCCAGGTCAGAGGCACTCGTGCCGAGAGGGAGCCCAGCTTTTCGTCCCGTGTCCTGGAGCGGCGAGGCAGCAACGCATCTTCATATTGAAGATGGATTATGGGACAGAGACGGCACATCCCGCTTCCCGCCCTGTCTCGGTGCTTATCGGTTTGAAGAGTTGTTCTGCTTCTTGGATTTCTTTTCACCCCGTTTCCCCCCCTAAGTCTTCACTTCCCTCCCGTCCCTGAGGCCACAGACTGTTGACCCGTCCGCCGAGTCCGTCAGACACGTCCGAAGCCTTCCCTATCTCTGGTCACCGCGTGGAAGCAGCCGGGGCAGGCCGAGCCGGCGACAGGGCCGGGGCCATCGGCCCCAGACAATCACTCCTCTCCTCCCGCCCTGGCGGGCCCCCCCCCCGAGGGTC